GAGAGATGGGGATCGATGGGGGGTCGCAATAAATATCCGTTTCTGCCGGATCATTAGCATACAAAGTGGTAATACCCCATCTGACTGATATTCGAAATCTTCAAAAGCAATCCCCTGCCATCGTTTGCGCGGCCGATACCGTGAAGTGGGAAATGCAAATGCAGTCGCCCATAAACCCTCTGATAAATCAGCGGAGAGACCGAGTCTGGAACGGAAAGTAATCTAAATGTGTGCCTGGATCCGCCCCCTGGCAACAAACCAATAAAGTTAAACGGGCCGCTGCCATTATATAAAGATTTCCGAAGTTTATTACCGAAGACGCGACGACGCGTCCCTTTGGGTTAAGGGCGGAATGAAAATTTTCACCGGTTCGCCACGGTTATTACGTTAGGACTTTGATATGGTAATACGGTAGCGAGGGGAATCGTATGGCTACGTCTTCCGGTGGAAGGCTAAAACGGTTTTATTGGGGTATAATGGCTCATTCCGAAATTGCTTCCCATTTACATATCCAACGACACCAAATATTTGTTTTCTTTCCCCCTTTCCGTATAATACACCAACAAAACTTTTTAATTAGGCATTTATAAGCTAATCCTTTAAAATATACCGGTTCGTATCAAAAAGTTAATTTAAAATGAAATGTCTTATAACGAGATGACGTTTTGATCATAAAATATCAGAACCTGAAATTTCGCTGAACTTTCACGTTCAGCAAGTCCCACATGCCATAAAGACAGTCCCTCCAAGTCGAGAGAAGTCCGTCCGGCTGTCTGGTTGCGGTCTTAGACCGCAATTTAATCGATTTCTTTGAAGGCTGAAATGTAGGACCTGAGACCGGAGGGAGTTTCAACTCTACATTCGAATTTATGAAAATTAAAGAATACGAAAACATCTCAGATAAAACCGATCTTACATTTGATGTAAAAATTACTCTCGAGACCATCCTCTTAATAGCTAGTTCTAACCGCCCAAGAAACTTAACCCAAAAGAAAAAAAACCTCAATAAAACATGCAGTAAAAACCGACTTTCTTTCTCTTTTGTACAAGAAAATAAATTAGGTACATTTACGGCCGCCTCCGTTACGAACGTAAAGGGGGAACCCCACCGAATCTCTGCGCGATGGGCGATAAAAAAAAGAGTTTTCCCGGTCACATAATAAAACGCGAACTTCCGAAGAACGAAAGTTAAGAAACAAGCATCCAAAGAGTCCTGTACTTACTTTCTACCGCCTTCTGTCGCTCGAATTCAACCGAAACCGCGGATGAGAACTTCATGAAACGTCAGGAGTTTTATTACTTCTACTTACGAGTCTCGATTACTATAGTAATCGGAACACGTTGCGGTCGTTCGAAGCTAAATTAAAACGAAACGAAACCCGCATCCTTTTAATTAATTAAAAAATTAACTTTATCAATAATAAAAAAATAACTTACTTTCTAAATAGAGATTGCTGGTTAAATTGTAAAGATTATGAACAAACGGATGTACATTCTCTGAAGTCAGCGATTCCAAGTTGTTCCCACGCAGATCAAGTTGCGACAATGCCAGAAGGCCCTCAAGCAAACTCGGCGACAGCGTGTTCAGGTGATTGTCTGCGAGATTCAAGTACTTCAGCATGGTTAATCCGGCAAAGGCCCTGTCCGAAATGTACGCTATTTGGTTGGACTCCAGTAGCAAGTCCTGAAAACGAAAAAAACCAGGGTACAGTAAAAAGTTCAAGTGC